ACTACAGCATGAGAGTAATGTACAGTACTGCTGTGTACTCAAAAGTATCTGCTTTAATGAAAAGTGATCATTCACGGCAACAGTATAATTTCTAAGCAGACTTTTGACTAGACCACTTTTCAGTCTAGTTTGGCCAAGAACAGTCCATTAGAAAGTCTGACCAACGTATAAAGCAACCAGTAACAGTTTTTTTTTTGTCATTGTTTCATTCAGACATAACGTTTAAGCGCAGAATAGAGGTGTGCTTTTGCATTTATTAGCAGTCTGACTTATGATTTTTACATGGCTTATGATACGATGTGAAAAAATCTCAAAGATTTATAGTGAAGGAGCTAAATCTATATCTCTAGCTCTATATGCAATCACTTTTATCCAAAGCGACTGACAAATGATGACAATAGAAGCAATCAAAACTAACAAATGAGTAATAATATGTAAGTGCTATGATGAGTCTCGGTTAGCCTAACGCAAACAATACACCCTACAACTTGCAGTCACCTGAAAAAAATGCTGTAGAATCATTGCAAATTGCTAAAATCCCTCCATAGCAACGTCCTAGTAACCACCCACAGCACTCTAGCATTTGTCCGTTTTTCCTCTCGCCACAGTGAACAGACATGCAGGAAAACCAGAAACAGGTGTTTACATTGCCATGTTAAAGACTGTAGGTCTTCAGCTTGGAAAGATTAGATGAGTTCAGTTCTCAAAGTCTTGAGGATTTTCTATAAGCCTGATAGGTATGAAGCTCTGGAGCCAGCTGTCTTGAAGGCACATGTTGACTTCAGATCACATACAGAGAATAAGGGCTCATAGTTTCAGTAGGTTGGTCCAGACAGGTTCAGGTTTGTCTAACAATAAGGCCACCATGTGTTTTCAGCTGCATGGTTACCTAATGAGGTCCAGACTTGATGCATCATTATCATGAAAAACGAACTATTCAGTTGCACATCAAAGCCAGACCAGCTCCATGAAGCTACTTACGACAACACAACAACGAGTCACGTGATAAAACATCCAAATAAAATGTTATGAAGAGTAATCTGACAGTTAGTCCTTCCATATTTTATTTGATTTATTTTGTCTTATTTTACTTCATTTTATTTAAATAATTATGCTATTTTAATTCTTTTGTTTTTTGAGCATCGTTCCGGACATCTGCAGAAGTTTAGATACAAAAACATTTCTGTAACTATAAATTGTGGTTAGTTAGTAAAGGCTTTACTGCATGACAAAATTATAATAGTGTGGTTGCAAATAGAATCTTAGTAAAATCAAACATTACCAAAGAATGCATGCCTTAAAAATACACATGCAACTATAAAATACAATGTTAGATAGATAGAGGTTAGATAGACAGAGAGATGAGGGTCTGCATGCCAAGTATGAGATGTTGTTAGCGTGCTTTGGCTGCTCTTGTCCTGTTGAGCACATTACACACAGTCCAGGTGGAGCATATGGTCCTCGTTTGAGATGCCCTGCTACTTTATATATCTGAGCTAAAGTCTGTGAATACTTGAACTTCTTTTCTTTGCACCTCGGAGTGAGTCTCCACTTCTTGTCTTTCTCTTTTACAGACAGACCGTTACATACTCCTCTTCAAGCTGTCAATCAGCTAAACTGTCTATTAAACTAAGGCTGTTAGCTCAAATGTTCAGTTTGGAAATGTCTGACATTTATGAATCAAATTGATCATCAAAAGGATATCAATAATAAACATAAAATTTTAATCAGCTTCAGAGAGTTTGACAGAAATATGATGTCTTCAAAACTCACTCCCACATGCCATCTGTGCAATACTGAAGGAATGTTTCATGCATTCCACGTACATTCTCCACTCTAGACCTGCAGACTTTAGAGTGTTAGTCATCAGTTAAGGTGAACTGATGAATGAGTTCAGGCTAAAGGGAAACAAGAAGGTGACCAGGTCAGTGTTAAATGAAACTACCACTTTAAAAGTCAGTAGCAGATTTGACTTTTTTGGCAGAGGCAAATAAATCATCCTGCGAGGAATAAAAACGTTACATTTGGAGGAAGTTGGATTTTGCATACATAACAACTTGCATTGTAAAATCTTTTTTTAAATCTTTTGTTTTCCAGTAGAAAAAAAAAATCTAAAAACAAGCTAAAATATATTGAAAAGAAAAATAGCTTATTTTCTACTTGTTTTCAGAAAATCTATCTTTATTAAATATTTTTCTCTTATTGTGAAAATTTGAAAGTTTAAATATCTAATCATCCTTAAAACAAGATAAAATATCTTCCGAAACAAAGTAATAAAATGTATTTATTTATTTATTTTAAAGAATGTGTTTTGAATTTTTCTCCCTTTGGGAAATAGTTTTTCTTCTTTTTAAAAATTACAAAACGTTGTGATGTGCATACAAAAAATTGTTTCACTTGTATGCCGCACAGTGACTTCTATGGTTCCTTTTGATGCTTTTTTCTTTTTTGTCCTTTCTGGAGCTTTGACAGGTCACAATAAGCTATCGTTTCATGGAGAAGAGCTGCGCATTTCTCCAAAACATCTTATTTTGTTTCATCCTGAATTGGAACAACATGAGGGTGAGTAAATAATGACGCAGTTTTCATTTCTGGATGGAATTTTCTGTTCAATTAATGCATGCACTATGGCAGTCCTATGTAAAACATGATCTCTGTCAAAGGAAATGGTAAAGCGAAGAGTGATTTGACTCCTTACAGATGTTAAAAGACATTCTGAAAGCTAAAAACCTTTTTGGAAAAAAAGAACGGTAGCTATGTAATATCTTTTACGCATCTGTAAGTCTGTGTCTTTATCCTCTGATTAGATTGAGTACCAGGCACTTCAAGGCCGTGGAGGAGAGCTGCCCGTCTCAGTCCATCCATAACAGCCTCAAAGCAAGCCAGAGAGACAATCCAGCAAACGAGAAGCAGCAGGGAAGTGGGCTCCCCGACATCACAACAGACCCAAGGCCAACAGCGAGCTTTGAATCCAGTGGAGTTACACTGAATGGAAGAGAGCACAACAGAGATGTGTAGTGCCTCTGAAAGGCCAGTATCTTACCCACCGCATCTGGTGCGTATTTAGCGGGATGTCATGAGCGCAGCGGCGCCTATCCCCCCTCCATGCTCTTTCGGCCCGGTTATCAAACACAGAGCCGATTCGAGAGTTCACAACCTTGGGTTTGTGATGTCAGCCTGCGTGTGTGCGGGACACAAGGCTTTGGTTGTTCTCGATTGGAACAATATTATAAAAGTCACACCTATACCATGGTACAGTAATGGTATCAGATGGTAATATCATGGTACTTTGACATATACCATCCGATACATCACAGTACTTTTTGTAAGGATAATTATGATTGATAAATATGACTGACATATACCGCAGTAATGCATTTTTACCATATTCATGTACCATGCAATTTACATCACTTACAAAAACTACGAAAACATACCATTACTACTAGACATGTACCATATTTTTTGGAAATACCCTGTTGGAGTACCATAAATACCATGGTACATGATAGTATTATAGTAATTGTACCATGGTGCACAGTACTTTTTGATACTTGATTTACAAGGGCTATCATGTGATATCACTTTAAAAAAATATACCATGGTACTACCATTTGGGGTGGGGTGGGGTGGGTTGGGGGGGGGGGGGA